CTTTGACTTCAGCCTCTGCCTAGCTGGAGCCGCTGGGTCCACCCAATGTGGGACCTCTCCCTGAGCCTGGCCCTCCTGGCCACCTGTGCTGGCCTCCCAGGGCAGTGCCGAGATGAGCTGGCAGAGGCTCTGCTGCCCTTTGTGAAACGCCAGACAGCACCTCTCTGACCTGTTCAGGCCCCAGGAGTTACACAAGTCTGCTCAGGCCCAATGGGAAGGTGGAGGCATAGCCCTTGCATTCTCAGAGCCGCTTGTGGGGCTGGGTGCTGACTGGTCGGTGCTRGACCTTTGGCAGGACAGCCTTCTCAAGACCTGCTGTCTCCTGGCTATTGTCCTGGGTGCCTGTTCTTCAGGCAGTTGGGATGGCTCAGCCAGGTTGTGTCCTCGGCCCCTTGTCCCACTGGTTCTGCTGGCAGCTTGTGCTGAGGTCCTCACTTCCCTTGTCCTTTGCCTTTTTGCTTTTGACTTGTCCTCCACCTCCCTCCCCCATTGGGCTGGTCAGGGAGAGGCTACTTGCACATGTTTTCAGTGCTCATTTGACTCAGACCCCCCCTTGATTTATTTGCATTTTTTCTTTCTTTCTCTCCSTTGGGCTACCATGGTTTGTGAATTCTTTTAGTTTTTACCCAAACTAGTCCGTGGCTCTGTGGGTTCTCTTCTTGCGGCTCCTATTACTTGGCAGTCTCTGCTCCTTGCTGCCATTTCCTTCCGGCTTGTTCTGCTCATTCGTATGGTGAGGTGAGTGCTCGGATGCTTTCCCTGCCTTTCTTTCTTGATGTGATCGTTTTAAAGTTGTACATTTCCTGATTATGGCTTCAGCTATATCCTGCATTTTTGTCATGCTGTATTTTGACTCAGTTAAACACATTTTCTAATTTAAATATGATTCTTAAAAATAGTCACAAAAATTGATGAAGTTTTACAYGTATGTATAGAACACAGACAAGGAAATATATTTATCTTAAAAAAAAAAACTTATATTACAGAAACCTACTACAGACATGCTAAGTGAGGGCACTATTTTTTATTTTGAGACAGGATCTGGCCAAGTTGAACTGATGTCCCTCYCGCCTCAGCCTCCTGAGTAGCTGGGATTATAGGTGTGACCATCACCTGGCTAATGAGGACACTTGGGGAAAATTCCCAATAAGATCAGAAAAAGAAAAGGATGTCTTTTGTCCCTGTTGCTTTAGAACTTTTATTTCTGTGTGTGGTAGGACAGGCAGAACATGCAATTCCCCATCCTTCAGGGTGCCCGGCTCCTGACTGAACACTTTCAGGGTTTCGGTGGCCACAGTGTGCCATGGTTACTTAGGAGTGTTCTTATGTATAAAAATGGGAGAGATTTTTTTTAAAGTCAAGCTTAATTACCTTGTGGTTTAAGAAACATTGTATATAATTTCAGTTTTGTAGATGTGTGAAGATTTGACTTACGTCTCTGGATGGCTAAGGTCCTGCACGTGTCCACATTGTCCTGATGAGAACACATGTGCTGCCGCTGTTGGGCCTGCACACTGCACCTAGTGGGTCGGATTCATTAATTTCGGTCAAATGGTTTTAAACAGACTGTTCAGTAAGAYTTCTGTGATGAGGGGGCATGTCCCTTGCTGACTAATATGTTACTGACACTTGGACTGTTACCAGTGTAACTGAGGAATGGAATCTCATTTTATTTACTTTAAACAGGTACTGAGTAGCCCCATGTGGTTAGCAACTAAGCACTGCACAGCGCTGTTATAAATCGAGGCAGAATTTGTTTGAACGTCCATCAGTTGCCTGTATAGAGGTGTAGCTGGTGGGGAATATTGTCTTTGTCTGAAATGTCTTTATTTTAAACCTTTTTCTTTAAAATAGGATTTTATTTTATTTCACACATGTGAGGCARGCACTCTAYCACTGAGTCACAACCCCAGCCCTTCAAATAGGATTTAAAAAACACATATGTAATTATCYTGTACCAGGCACTATTTTAAGAGTTTTTTTAACTATTAAAATTACAGTGATGTGTTCTTATTTTTCCATTTTTGCCTTCTGCTACAGATGATCCCCTGCTGTGTCTTCCTGTCTAGGTGCAGAGGGCAAAGACGTAGTTATTTCGTGGTCGGTAGATGGTGGTTCCAGAATCTCAGGCTCTTCCAGCTGGCCAGCCTTCTCTGCCTTCTGTGTGTGCCTGTTGTCCTTGATGCACTGGGGAGTTGAGTTGAGGGCATTTGTAGGGCTTCTTCGGGGCTGAGGTCTGCAGAGCATGATTGGTCTTGTGCTGGGTATCTGTGGACAGGGTTCTCCTGGGACCATATATTTTGGCCATTTTATGCCCTTGGGGTGGAGGGTGTTGGCCAGGGCCACCCTGGCTGCTCACCAGGATGGTGGCACCTGCCTTGCTGGGTCCTGGGCCTGCCCTGCTCTGCCACCCCTCATCCTTCACATGGGGACAGCCAGACTGCCTAGCATGGCCCCTGCTCTTCCCTTCACACCATCTCCCTGTGACATGTGGCACCCTTTATGGCTCTTTCCTTTCTGAAACTCCTTCTTTAGCTTTTCTTCTGGTGGTCTTTTTCAACTTTTCAGCTGTCCTTCCTTTGTCCTGCTCTTGAACTCTCTTTCTCTGCCTGCTCATTAGATAGCTGCACCCCAAGGCCTGGATCTGCCCTTCCCCTCACTTCTTGGTGACCCAGGCCACGCCAGAGCTCCCACTCACCACACTCACATCCAGCGCCATTGTCTCTCTGCGCTCAGGCTGGGGTCCAGCAGGCTGTTTCCTCTGCTAGGCACCCCTTCTCATTCTTGGGTGGGCCTCGCAGGGTGGCGTGACCACCTGCCCAGAACACCTGGCTTGGTGTACCCCACTGAGCTGGGTCACAGGGCCCAGGTGAGTCAGTAGCTGTCAGCTTGAGGGCCTGCTCTGATCCCTGCTGGCTGACCACCCTGGGGCTACCCTGGGTTGCTTGCCACTTTTCCTGGCTCGCCCTCTGCTCCTAGCTGACCTAACGTGTTTGTGCTACATGCCTCATTCCTAAAGTGTAGGTAGGACCACACTATTCCTCAGCTTGAAATTCCTCAGTGATTCTCCATTTGCAGGATAAAATTAAAACTCCTGAGTTTTGCATGGAGAGTCTGTATTCCTCCACTGCCTGCGGCCTCCTCCCTAGGCTCTCTGTGGACTTAGCATGTTGAAGTGTCTGTCATCCCTCTTCCCAGTTCCCTGGTACCCTTTCCTGTGCTGTGTCTCCTCCTGGCACTCCGTTCCTGTTCTCTGCCTGGCCATCCCTAGCTTCTGTTCTATTCCAGGTCACTCTTGCTTCTGGGGGCAGGCTTCTGGGGTGAGCTGGGTCCCATGAGGAAGAAGGGGTACTCATTAGCATGTAAGGGCCAGGTCCCACCCACCCCGCGCCCTCCTAGATCCTGAGGTGCCCCTTCCCAGTGAGCGCATTTGGGCTGCTATCAGGTGGAGCCTGGTGTCCCACCTCCTCCCTGCACTCCACTGCGGGGCTTGAAGAGACAGGCACACCCTGGGCCCCAGGATGGGACATGCGTCACCTGTCCCTCAGGGTTTGTAAGGAGTAGGGCCAGTGGTGGCGCCAGTCAGCACAGACCAGAGTGGCAGGTGGCCCGCAGATGTCTTCATTCGACTGCTGTGCGTGGACTGCCCACACAGGGTCCACTCTGCCCCAAGGGAATAAGGAAGGAGGCCACAGTGCAATCTGGACTGTGAGGGGATCAGGCCCCCATGGCAGGCTTATGGCTGGCACTGAGAGGCAAGTTCTGTGGCTTCTGGAGGGAGGAGTCCACTAATGCCTGGACCCCAGGATTACCTTGAGGCAGGAGGCAAACAGGCAGAGCCTTTTATTATGAAGGAGGGATTTACAAAAAATAATGGTAAAATCCTAAAAGGTAACTAGGAGAAATCAGAGCTGTTTTGAAGGTGTCTGTACTTTTTTTTTGGGGGGGGGTGGGTACCAGGGATTGAACTTAGGGACACTCAACCACTGAGCCACATCCCCAGTCCTATTTTGTATTTTATTTAGAGACAGGGTCTCACTGAGTTACTTAACGCCTTTCTTTTGTTGAGGCTGGCTTTGTATTTGAGATCCTCCAGCCTCAGCCTCCCGAGCAGCTGGGATTACAGACGTGTGCCACTGCACTCAGCCAGGACTGTCAGATTCACCTCACTCTGGGCAGCCACATCCACCATTTCCTAGTTCTGCTGGCAGAATTTAGGGCTGTGTAGACCTCAGAGCTGACCCCAGCTGTTGGGGAGCCCCCCAGAGCAGTTTACATGGTTTGCTGTTCATACTGGGAATACAGAGCTGTCATCTAGGTGAGGAGCCATGAAGACTGCTTCCTATTGGGACAGGGGCCTTCATGTTGGGGTGGCCAGCCAGTTCCTAAGAGCAGGTGAGCAGCATTTCCATGACCATGAATATTAAAAAGAAATAGCCAGTAATCCCAGCTTCTTAGGAGACAAGGCAGAGAATTTCAATTGAAGGCCAGCCTGGGCAATTTAGGACCCTGTCTTAAAATAAAACAAAGGTGGGGTGCATCTCAGTGGTAGAGTGCTAGCCTAGCATATGCAAGGTCCTGGTTCAGACCCCAGTACTATAAAAGAGATGCAATCCTGCAGCTCTAGTAATTAAAAACCAACATTCTGTGGCTGTCCAAGTTGACAGCCTCCCTGAGGCAGTGCCTTTGGGGCCTGGAGTGGGTGGAAGAGACCCATGCTCCTCCGGCACTCCACCTGTCAGGGCCAGGGGATGCCACACCACAGAAGGCAGGGCCCGCTTGCTCTGGAATAGGCCGGTTCAGTGTGGGACATTTGTTGTTTTAAGATGGGATAAAAGTCCTATGTAGATGTCTCTGCTTCTGTGCTAGTGAAACTTGGGAGTTGAGCCCTTGGTTAAAGTATTGCTGGCTTGAAGAAATATGATGCTGCAACCCAAACAGTAACTGCACGTAAGCGTGGTTCAAGGTATTTTTCTCTTGTTTTGTCCCTTTTTTCAAAGCACTGCCAGTGAAAGATGTAGAAGAAAAATCCGAACAACAAACCAGAGTGAAGGAGACGGACAAGTTACCTGCCGGTGTCAAACCCCGACAGCAACCAAGTGCCTTATTTGCTAGAGGAAGTAGGAAAGCGGTCAGAAGCCCCCAAAGATCGTCCAGTAAAATAAAAGAAAACAAGCACCCATTTGCTCTTTACGGCTGGGGAGAGAGACAGACAGACACCGGAAGCCAGAAGACCCACAACGTCTGTGCCTCTGCCTCGGTGCATGAGGTGCGGGCCTGCCTTTCTGTTCTCCCCTGGAAACCACTGGGATGCACTGGGCCTGCAAGGTCCTGGGGTGGGGTGGAGGTCAGGGAAGCCCAGAATCGGGGATGGTTACCAGCAGGAGGCTCTGGATGTCGCTACTCGAGCAGTAGGGGTTTGTGCTGGGTGTTGGCTGGCACCTGAGGGGTTTACTGACACACACCAGGGGAGAGTGGGACTGGCTGTGTGGCTATAGAGCAGAGAGGAGTGCAGCAGGACTGGTCYTGCTGCTGCCCTTGTGAAGGCTGTTCTCTTTGGCTTCAACAAGCTGGTGTCCAGAGCTGCTTGGTGGCCTGCTTCCCAGATGTCTTCCAGGCCCCTCTCCTGCTTGTCCAGGAGGGATGCATTTTCTCCCAGGGGCTCTGGTCCTCCGGTGAGGCCCTGTCTGAGCTCTGTCAGGACCTGAAGCATCTCATGGTGAGTCCCTTGGCAGCACTGATGCTGTGACAGCTGGAGCAGGGTGGCTCAGGAGAGGGATAGGAGCTGCCTGCTGGTGGCCATTCCACATGGCTTCCCTGAACTCTGGGCCCAGCAGATGCTGGCATTGGGAGTGAAATTTGAGGCCACTGGGCTGTTTTTCCAAGGACCTCAGTCCCTGGGGCTGATTTTAACAGGCTTTGCCGTTGAAGGGTGACGCCTGGTGAAAGCCCTGGGCGTTTCCAGGTGCTGGTTTAGAAGGTGGGCCCCTCCAAGCAGGTGCAGAGCTGACCCTGCTGCTCCCCAGATCTACTCAGGGTTTAGTCTTCTGTTGCCCAGCATCGTGTCACAGGCGTCTGGTGTGCGTGTTCCTGGGGGAACTCAGGTGTGCAGAAGGCCCGTTGGCAGGCGTTCTTGACGATGAGCGCAGAGCGGACTCACTTCTGTGTTTCTCCTCCCTAGATTCACGAGTCGGCGCTACGGGCCAGGAGCAGAAGGCAGGAGGAGAAGAGGAAGCTGGCTGCTCAGCGGCAGCGTGCGCACTCGGTGGAGGTG